GTATTGGAATGTTGCTCAAAATTAGCATGCTCAGTTCAGCCATATCTGTAAATCGCGTTCGATTCTTGAACATTTTTCAGCATGCTCAATAAAACGCCTTTCAGCATACTGGTTTAGGGCATATGTAACAGTACCTTTAGTCCAGCGATGGACATGATGAGGATGATACAGGATGTTGTGTTTTTGATCACTACATGCCTAACAGCTGATGATGATTATCCAGTTCTATCAGATATGTGCCTCAGGTACACCTAGATATTATCCTGCAGGCGCCCTCTAGTGAGAGTTGTGGAGACCAGCTAGCACACAATACAGCAAGGCCCTCTCTTCTTGACCTCCTCTTGTTCCTCCTCAGCAGCCAGACCTTTCTTCTGTCGCGACATTTGCCGGATCAGCGTCAGGAACGCCTGGAGTTATACACTCACATTTATACGGAAGAAAGAAAACTAGATTGTAAACAAAAATAATAAAGAAGCGAAAACGAAATCTAGGTATCTTCAATTCATTTAATGCGAAACTTTCTATCTACATTAATGTATTTAAAAAATCTGTTGGTGCTAACTACAGTCCACATGCATTAGATTGTTGTTGATTATGGTGTACCATGCTCAATTGCTCGATATTTAAGTTACTTACCCTAATCAGAGGTAATTAGTCCATACTTGGTGCAATGGAATGCAATCTAGAGCGAGTTCAATTAATTTAAAATTTTAGAGAAAAGAGTTATAAGACAGATTACCGCTGTAAATTGTGTTGAATACTGGTATAGTAATTTTACTGAATTGAAAAAACAAAATATTTATCAAACCACACCCATGGGTGTGATATAGACAGAGACAAAATACTGTTAATCGAACTACTGTCAGTTGTAACGGTAGTAGTAAATAATACGCATCATTTTGCAAATCTGTATATTTCCTGCTTTATATCAATCATTTTGTTCCTGTGACTTCGATATACATACATACATACACGTAGGTACATAATCCATAGATTTGTGAACTAAAGTAACTAGCTTATAGACATTACAAGTACATCGGAATATAATGTTCGAAACACCACCATCTGTCGACAGTAACTGTGAAACTATGATTACAAAAGTTTAAGCCTATCTCGGACAGTTGCTATCGGCATATGACACGCTACAGGGGAGAGACAGAGTAGTAGCTACTGAGTAACCACTTACAATATTACTTCGTGTTGGCAGTCGGGGACCTGCTAGATATACACACCTGCCCCGAACAGTATATTATGCTAAATATGTTATTGCTACGCGTGCGTTGCACTAAGTGGACAAAACAAATCGTAATGGCATCACACAGGGCCGAGGTTACGGTACACCATACCTCGGCACTCGTTCTACTGACCAGCCCAGCTGTTCACCACGAGACATCATCTCAACTGCATCATTCACCAGGCGACATTGAGAAACATCCACAGTACACAAGTAGGTGAGGCGAACAGACCGAGGAACAGATCAACGATCCAATATAAAAAGTAAATCGTGGAGATTTAAAAATATCAGACTTTATTGCATACAAAACTTAGCATTACATTTATATAGTAGCTTCGAGTTTCTGACTGCCATCGTCTCACTGGGAGTATAAACGAATTAGATACCAACGGGTCAGTGGAAATTTAATATTAACTGCAAGAAATGTGTTATAATAATGTAGTGTGCGTGATGGCAGTCAGAGACTCGAGGCGCGTAACATACAAGACGTGACAACTACCGGCTACTGAGTGAAGCGCCCCTATATATATATATATAGGTATATATAGTACCCACACCCCCCGCCCTGCGCCGGCGCAGACAACACACGGATGTTCACTGAAATAGTATTCTAGGAGATCGTGAGCCCGTGCAGTCCACACCCCTACAACGTACAGTATATATATATTTAGTAACCAAACAGATTCATCATGAGATTTCAACCGAACATCTGACTAGCTCTTACATTGCGTAGTCGGAACAAATACTATTTCTGCAAACACGTACGAACAGTACCCTCAACACATTACACAATACATTTAGCACTTATACATAGAAATAAATACAAAACTTACGCTACCGAGCATGCGAGTGCGACCCCGTGTCGCATATTGTACGGACAATGTCCGACACGAGGTCGCGGCGCGGCGCCCTCTACACGGACATGTAACGCGAAAGCACTAAGCTTTGATACAACAATATTTCATTCGTAAAAATATTATGGAATTCTGTTTGTAATGAGTCGTGTCAAAATGTATTGTATCGTACACTCGCGCCGCCGCGGGTGTCGGCTGAAGCAGGACAACGTATGAGAACCACAACCAGTCGGGGCGCGATATTAAACTAAACTATTTAAAAGTTACTTTATAAAATGTATTGTTTCGACGAGTTTCGTTACAAACAGTATTCAATAAATGCAAGCACCAAAGTGGGCGAAATATATTAAAATTTACAATAGCCTGCTTACACCTAGTACATGTGGACGTGCCGGCGACACGCGACACGCGACCTTCGACCTTCACGTCCACGTAACAGAGTTTCAAATACAATACACGAATTTACAAGATGTGTTATTGATTAGTGGAGTAGAAGGCGTGTGGCGATTGTTGTATGTCAGTCCGTACACAGACAGTCCGCCGACTGGACGTCGTACGTGGACGTACTGCACGAGGCCACGCGACACACAGCAAGCCCCGCACGGCCCGCGGTGCGACGTATCGCTGACGAGACGAGCGCCTGTAGTATAGTATCGGGTCTCTGCCTACAATATGGCGCACTTGATTTTCCTCCGCTTTTTCCCCTTGACGTCCCCGTTGGTGGCGCGGCTGTCGTCAGACTTGCGCGACCGGATCTCACGCATCAGGTCAAAGAACACCTGCACAGGACGCCACGTCACACACCACACAGACCCACACCCACACCCACTCCCACACACCCACACCCACTCCCAGGGACACCACGGACGGTACTAGGGCGCACGTAGGCACACATACATTGTCACAAACATGTACATCACTGCTACATGAGCAAGTGGCACTGGTCCCCGAGTGACCGAGTCTACTGCACTGGTTCAATACACCTACATGTATATTTAACTTAGAGTTGCATCGCACACTGCCCGGCTGAAACCTATCGCTATTGGGATGAGATGTGCCTACAGAATCGAATGACATCGCAGCGGAACATCTCCTGCAATGTTGTTAGAGGATGTGAAGTGTGTGTTGTAAGTGTAGTGAGGTAAGGAAAGCGTCAGGCGAGCGAGCGATGCAGCGCAACTCTAAGAAGCCAGCCAGAGCCAGGCGTCAGTACAGTACAGGCACAAGCGTGCCCACACGACGCACTGAGAGAGTGGGTGTACAGGTGGGGACAGGCGTAGTCGATCAAATCGATTATCGATTAAAAATTGTCTAATCTAATGCAAAGTTGAAAATTGAATGTATTACTATAAAGAGTAGGTACATTAGTGAGTCTGACCTTGTCGACGTTGTCCCGCGTCTTGGCGGACGTCTCGACGTACGGCACCTGCCAGTGCTGCGCGCGCTCGCGGCAGGTGTCGAGCGGCACGCGGCGCTTGTCCGCCAGGTCCGACTTGTTGCCCACCAGCAGGAACGGAATGTTCTCGTCGTTCTTCACGCGCAGGATCTGTTCTCTGGAAATTGACACTTAGTGTTACGTGTGGGGGAGTCGTCTTTAAGAATAGATGTAGGAAACAGTGACGTAGACCGAGATTTGATAATATATTATGTCAGTAATTTTAAACGTTTACCTGAACTCTTGCGTGGCATCAAAGCTCTCAGGCTCAGTGATGGAGAAGACACAGAGGAAGCCCTCTCCTGATCGGAAGTAGTTATCTCTGATGGCGGCGTAGTCTTCCTGCCCCGCCGTGTCCAGGATGTCGATCTGAACCTCCTCACCGTCCAACACTACCTGCAAACATCATGTCAATGAAGTTAAAACCTTTGTATCGATTATTATGGCAACATTAAGCTGTCGAGCTAATTCCTTGTCACAGAACTTTATTAAAAGGTGATACATATCGTGTATAGAAAGGAAGAAGATTTACATGATTATAATACGTCCGTACTTGTTCATTAAAGCACGAATGGAATGTAAGAATGAGACGAGAAGATAAATTTGTCTCGAAAGACCCAGCCCTTTGTTACGAATATCAACAGCATTCAACTTTCCACATAAGTATCTGATTACTCCGCAGCCCTCGCATGGGAACCTTCTCAATGAGACGGATGTTGGTTCCCACAGCAATCAGAGAGGTAATACTCGTACATTCACCGGAATAATGTTTAAGGTAATGTCTTTTCTCCCGAGCCCGTGAGAACAGATCTCTGTGCATATCAAGTAGAAAGTCTTTACTACTTAGTAGTCATTCTAATGCGATCTGATATTGAGGCAGGCCTTGTCATAAGGAACTATAGGTGAGTGCTTTTTTTATCAATATTTATACTATAAGGTGCCACTCGCCATGAATTACTAGGGTTGGCCTTATTTTCTTAAGATAGTAAAATGTTGTGATAACTACTTTTGTGACTAATTCATATGTAATCTTAGTTCGGTAATAACTAATACCAAGCCCACGTTTGCTTCCTAAACAAAAAAACGATAATATGGTATAATCTTTACCTTCTTCCTATAGCTGTCTGCCTTAGTGGGCTCGTAGTCTTCAACGAACTCGTCGTACATGAACTGCAGCGTGAGCGCGGACTTGCCCACGCCGCCGGAGCCCACCATGATCACCTTGTGCAGCGTCGGCTGCGCGGCCGGCTTCTTCGACATCGTGCGGCACTTGACGCGCGGCTCCAGGCACGAACACTGCAACCACACATATACACACTGCATTATCACTTTACTATAGAACAGACCCCTACGAAAACGTTGCCAACTCACGATTAACTTATAAGTCCGGTGGAATGTCCGAGACTTATGAAACTACAATAAAACATCCTAAATATGTTCAACAATTCATGACGTGTACCGTGTACCAGTGGGTGCTAGGCCTCCAAAATTTGGCGACGTTGTCCAAGCGAGTGCTGTGGTACGTAACATTATGGAAATGTCAATGTTACCAGTGACCGTGTATGGCGACCAAGACATTGAACTTGACTGGGCCAACACGAGCTCCGGTAGAACCTTGAAATTGAAACGTTACTATGATCCGCCTTAAGATATCTGCCTAATGCTAAAATCGGGAGTAGGTAACAACAAATTAACCAAGTACCTTTTATATTTAAATTACAAATTAATAAGGTGTAATTAATAATTATTTACCTCAAACTGTTTGCACGAGTCAGAATCAATATTTATAGCAGGAAATTAACATTGCCTACGTCAACGTGTGCTGCAAGTTGCGACAAAATATGTCTGCCAGCCAATCAGTCACCAATTAGAGTGGCTGACAACGAATTGAGGTAATACGTGTAAGCAGTGGAGTGCCTGATAACGTAATGATACGCTCATTATGCCAGTTAAACCGTTATCAGGATGCTAATGGCCGAGACTATAACAATTTCTAAAGAATGCACTGAGTATCAGTGTACAGCTGATACTGATCAGCACTGTGTGTGGAACATGCGATGTCTTAATTAAGGAATCGTATGTCACGTGTCGCGTCGACACGAGCGTAGTGCTACATGTATTGACTGGACAAAGTAAGCAATGCTTTGTATTGAAAAAATCAGTCAAGTCAAAATAAATTGATTTTGCTTCGGGACACGTAGATTTAAAATATAATTTTTATATTAACCTTATCCCTATTTATCGTATAACGTTATTATTATAAGGTATATTAAAACGAATTGGATGTTATTTACGAATTATGACTAAGATTAAACAATGCTTACGTTAATAATGAGATAATTGAGTTCCGTTTCATACCATGCTTAAACACAGGCAGCGGATAGGCATGTAGATAACGTTAATATGGCAACCACATAACTATGTAGAATGAATAATTCTTTTTTATGACTATAGTTAGCGCAGCGATAACATCTAAATGATAATCTCATCTGAAATCTTATCAAGATCAATGATTATCAAGGTAGCACAAACCAAACTGTTTCAGTACTAAAACCATTGCGGACACCGACAACGTTGTTTATTTATTTAATATTTATGTACAGTTGTACACACATCTAGGGAATTTATTCCTGTGGACTTGTGGCAGGAAAAGTAAGAATGATACAAACACAATGTGCAATAAATAACAAACACATTATTACTTTAGGTCTGACTATGACAAATAATTATTTTGCACTGTGGCTTCATTCCATTAAATTATTAATTATCCCAAGAGTGCGCCCATGAATATGCAGTTATAAATATTTATGTTGAATACAATTGTCATTCAGTAGGTCAGTAGTTAGGTCTCATTCTCTTCATCAGCGAACTACCGCTACGGTGGGAACACACTGCGTCCTTCAAGCGTCCAGCGTGGCAGCATGGCCGCGGGTAAATAAACACATCGATCGTAATTAATTGATCGCAGTTAGATGACAATGGTATACGTGGGTTGAATCACAGTCTCAAACATTTGCATAATATTAATTAATTTTTAACAGCGCAGTTGTATCATTCAGGAGTTGTGGATTATTTTAAATAACTCCTGGTCGTCTGGTCCTTTGCTCCACAGAAACAGAACTACTTCAGAATACATAAGTATGCACACAGACAGGTCATACATTAATCTACTTAATATGTAGAAAATATGATTGTGCGTACAATTTGCAGAGTTAATTGAATGTGAACAAAAGATTGACGTTGACGTGTCTGTGTTGTGAGGTACCCGGCAGACAGACCGTGAGACAAACCAAGTCCTGAGTAGAATGATTAATGAGGTGGTTGCTATACTACTACCCAGTTTCAGTTTTTAGACTGTTTAGAAAAATAATCCTAAAACAGGAACCATAAAGGGAACTAAATTGTAATTAAATTGTGCAAATTAATTGACCTTTTTGAACCCATAGCGAAAAAATCTCATGATGCCTCTTCTCTTGGGGAAGATGACTGCGGCTATCAGAAACATGGTGATTAAAACCACATTATTTGCCCTACATTAAATGGTCTTTTCCACAACATTTTTATTGTTTACCTCCAACGTTTGCCCCTACATTATTGCTAAAAGTTAGCAAACAATGCGACACCGTGGCCGACATACTAAGTGGCATATTATCGTGAGGCAGTGCACGTCCCCAGTGGTTCAGTTATTTAGTCGCACACCACACAATACTGTCCGGCTTCCTGTGCCATTAACAACGGGATCCTATCACCTGGATTGTGAGCTTACAGGACTTTGCGTACAGCAAATTACAAGACAGAAAGAAAATTTTTTAATAAAAAGGGCCACGTTTTGTTATTTTGATTGAGTAATTTACATTTGTATTGTAGTCGATTTGTGGTTTTCGTATCCGAAAAAGATTTTAGTAGCACCAACTAGTCAGTGAGAAATACAGACATTTGTTTACAATAGCAGTGGGGACTAGATGTGTAGTAGACACAGTGGGCAGACGAGCAGACAGTCACACAGGCTTGCGGCTGCCTACAGACACGAAAATAACTAATTTCCTTTAATGAAGCTCCGGAGACGTCACTGGTTTATGTTCCTCTTTCATCTTAACGTCTTCGCACTTGTTTTAGAAAACTTGTGTTATTAATAATCCAGTGTTTCAGTAGTCAACTATGTTGTACAGTTTGCTTCAGCAAATTAATATAAGTATAGCAATGTGTATTAGGCAATTGTTTCTCAACATACTTGTAAGATATATTCTGAAGTGTCTGACAAAATAAGATAATGTATGAAGTCTAGTAACCAGATAGGCAACAAGAAACCACTTCGATACAACCTATCTATATCTTACACAAATGTTATTACCTATATCTTTTATCAGGTGACAGTTTTATTTATTTGTCGCCTGTGCAAGTATATTTACGCGACATCCAGATCTACCAAGCAAACTAACTGAGATATTTTAATGTATTGTACCTACTTACTGTGGAAGCAGTGCTCGAGATATGAAGCCTTAGTACCTATGTTCTAGTTAATAGGATTTAATGACAGCCTCGCTACAACTTCAGTGAAATTGAGATAAAATACAAACAATAGACGACCTTGACGAACATGAATCACAATTATTTACCATGATTCATTACTAGACTAGCGGTCGGATGTGAACACAAGTACTTACACAAAACAAACGAGGCATCGCACGGATATTATTTTATGTATATTCGGCACCGGAGCGCGGAAGAACGCACTAATTAAACACGACTGCTCGCGTCACACTATGACACAAAAATAAACTTTTTGTATGGTTTCCCCTATTCCCCCACCATGACAAAATATGTCAAAGGGCATCAGGATGACACACATCATATTCATGGTTTAATTGGTCTATTTTTAATGAGTGGTTTCGACTATGATGTCTGTACAGTCGCACACAAATACGATTCGCATTGACTACGTGGGTACGTCTAATCTGCGATTCCAGACAGAAATATAACTACTTTAATTAGTAAGGTAGATTTGTCAATATTATGTAAAATAATGGACGACTTTAAGCCATAATTATCAAAAGTTTTACTAGTTTGTGTTTGTGGTTACAAACTCGACAGTCGATCAGTGATTTCATTTGGCACGCAAGGGGTGGCCACTGATGCGTTTAGTGCGCCTAACTACCGCAAATTAGCGATGGAATAAAGTGAAAATAAAAGTGAACATATCAAAGTAGTTTAATATTTAATACAGTTACTGATCCCGTGTATAAAAATTGTCTTTACCATAAGTAACTCTTGTTTTTTTAGAGAGGCAACCAAACAGAACTTTAATTCTTTTAAAATTCGCAGCCAGCATTGTGTTCGTACTCAAGAATGTGCAGTACCTATTAATGCTTACTTAATCTGGGGAAACCGGTTTATGAGAGGAAGGCGATATTGCAATATTGTACTCCTAATAACTGTAACTAAGTAAATAAGACGCGGAGTGTTCAGTCGAGGATTACGGTCGGCTTCATTAACGCCCAAAAAAATTAAGTGAAAGTGGTTCCCATTACATAAACACAGATAACCATTATCGCCCTATCGTCAGTGTTACAATATACAAACAAGCGAGCAATGTGCGCAAGCGCAGCCTCGTGGTCGTCACAGTTGCTACAGATGCGATAACGATCTAATACCGTTGTATGTGTACTTGTAAATTGGTGTGACGAATTAAATGGCTTCTTTTTATGGCCACATAGTTAATTACGTCACTTGTGAATCGCAACACTGCAGCCTCAGATGGTCGCTTGCAATGTAACAAGATAAGGGGCAGTTGTTTGTGTACATAAACCTTCCATGAGTTTATCTGCATAACTAGGTGACCGTTAAAACTTCATCAAAATCCGATTAAGCCGTTAAAAACATCCAGTAAGTACTAAAAAGCAATGAACTGTGTGTTATTCCGGTTAGTGAATGATACACGCTGGTCTCGTTAGTAATATTTATTTTTGTTTGGGTTGAATCATGCTATTTATATCACCGAGTAAAAGGATCCTTTCCTTCACCGCTCCCCAACATTGGATATTTTCAACTTATATTCTGTATCTGATTCGATTCGAGAGTGTAAACAACGACAAATCGCATTATAGAGTCAATGTATTAACCTCTAAATGCTTTAAATATGCAGTTTGATGTCGGTTTTGCTATTAAAATAACAGTAAAATGACAGGTCTGCGATAATATAAGTCAGATATTTGTCAGTTGGTACCAGTCCCCTAGTGGTACAGAGTTATGGGGACAAACTTCAAATCTACTGTTTTAGACAATAGTTAATAAAACAA